ACAAAAAGCATGAATTAAAAAAGCAAAAATTATAAATTGGATTTCCTAAAATTTCAGAAGTTTTGCTCTTCAGAATGAAGAGACTAGGAAAGATTGAGAGAAAATATTTATGAAACATCAATCCTTCAATTAAAAATAAAATTAAAAAAGGACTGTATCCAGAATATGCAAAGAATTCTTATAATGATAAGAAAAACTGACTATTTTAAATGAGCAAAAAAAAAATTGAACATACACTTAAACTAAGAAGATATATAAATGGCAACTAAGCCCACAAAAAATTGCTCAAAATAATTAGTCATTATGGAAGTACAAATTGAACCACAAAATTATTAGATGCTACTTCAAAACTACCAAAATGGCTAAAACTAAAAATACTGACAATACCAAGTATTGACAAGGATGTAGAGCAGTGGGAACCCTCATACATTGCTCATAGGAATATAAAATGGTACAGCCATCTTGGAAAACCATTTGACTGTTTCTTATAGAATTAAACATAATTTACCATTTGACCCAGAAATTCCATTCCTAGCTGTTTACCCAAAATATACCTTCACATGAAGACTTGTACTTAAATATTCATAGCAACTATATTCATAATAGCCAGGAAAGAGAAACAAACATCTATCAACTAGAGAATGGCAAATAAATCATGGTGTATTTATACAGTGGAGTATCACTCAGCAATAAGAGAAATGAAATATTGATATCCATAGCAATGTAGATGAGCTTCAAAATCCTTATGCTAAATGGTAGAAGCCAGAAACATATATGATTCTACATACATGAAATTCTAGAAAAGGCAGAACTACTGGTGGTTTCCAGGTGCCTGAGATGGAGGGGACGGGAAGGGAAGGGGCACTGACTGTAAAGGGGCACAAAGGAAAGTTTAGAGCAATGGGAATCTCCATGGCAGTGATCACACCCTGTCTGTATCTGTAAAAACTCATCAAATGTATACTTACAATGAGTTTTATTTAACATAAATTATATACCTCAATAAAGCTGAATTAAAAAAAAAAAATCACTGAATTCATGTTTCCCCATTCCTCTCCTACTCCTGAGCATGAGACCCAAGTTCAGGGTTGTTAGGTAGCATTATAGTTCAGGGTGGCTGTCTAGTTAGTGGTGTCTGACCATGCTGATTCCTCCTGAGATGTGCATCCACCTGGGTCCCCTATATGGGCCTCCATGCTGGCATCTTCTGAGAATCCTACATCCCCATCTGATGCTCAATTGTATGATCCACAGAACTTTCTGAAGTAATGTCTTGTTATCATAACACCAAGGTCTCTTGGGGTGCGGCACTCCCAGTCACCCTCAACACCTCTTCTATTCCACTTTAAAATCTCTTCAACCCTCTCTGCTTTATCACATGAAAGGGTAGGACTGATGATGGCTCTGGAAACTTGCCACTTTCCCCAAGTCCTGTTTGGCATGAGAGGCACATTATCCCTCTGATGTCTTGGAAAGTCCAAGTTTCACTGTCTCATTTCCTGAGCTTGATCATGGGTGGACAGGGGACCATGCCAGCTTGATTCCTCACCACCTCTCCTTGTTCCCCAGCTCAGAAAGAAGGTGCTTTGATTTATTTTATTTTTAATTTCCTCTTCCAATGTACAATAGGAAGATTGTCTTGCTAAATATTCTTCTAACCCTATCAGTTCAGTTTGGTTCAGTCGCTCAGTTGTGTCTGACTCTTTGCAGGCTCATGGACTGCAGCACCCCAGGTTTCCCTGTCCATCACCAATTCCCGGAGCTTGCTCAGTCTTAGGTCCATTGAGTTGGTGATGCCATGCAACCATCTCATCCTCTGTTGTCCCCTTCTCCTCCTGCCTTCGATCTTTCCCAGCATCAGGGTCTTTTCTAATGAGTTGGCTCTTCCCATCAGATGGCCAAAGTATTGGAGCTTCATCTTCAGCATCAGTCCTTCCAATGAATATTCAGGATTGATTTCCTTTAGGATGGACTGGTTTGATCTCCTTGCAGTCCAGAGGACTCTCAAGAGTTTTCTCCAACACCATGGTTTAAAAGCATCAATTCTTTGGCACTCAGCTTTCTTTATGGTCCAACTCACATCCATACATGACAACTGGAAAAACCATAGCTTTGACTAGACGAACCTTTGTTGGCAACTAATGTCTCTGCCTTTCTAACCCTATAATAAGCAATGTAAAAACCTTTGCCTTTAGAGAAAGGAAAGAAATTGAGTAAGGGATGCTGCCTAGGGAGAGGAAGACCAAAATAGAGATCTGCCTTGGACCAGAGGAAACCTGTGAACAGGAAATACGCATGCAATGAAAATAGAAATCTGTGAAATTTCTAAGTATAGGAGAAGGAACTGGACTGCTTTACTTACTGTCTGTAAAGTTGGCTCTTCCCACAGGGCTTCCCTGGTTGTCTAGTGGTTAAGAATCTGCCTGCCAATGCAGGGGACATGGGTTTGATTCCTGGTCCAGGAAGATCCCACATACCACAGAGCAGCTAAGCCCTGCAAGCCACTACTGAGCCCATACACCACGCCTACTAAAACCCATGCACCTAGAGCCCATGCTCTGCAACAAAAGAAGCTGCTGCAATGAGAAGCCTGTGCACCCAAACTAGAGAATAGACCCTGCTTTCTGCAACTAGAGAAAGCCCACATACAGCAACAAAGACCCAGTGCAACCAAAAATAAATACAGATAAAATCTAGGGGAAAAAAAAAAAGTTGGCTCTTCCATGACTCAGAGTTGACACATATTCGTTTTAAGGACTTTTAAAATTTTTAGTTGCTCCCTTTCTGCTTCTCCAGTACCCAATATCCTACATAGTCTTTCTTATCCTAGATTTAAACATCTCACAGTGGGATTTGAAGATTAGGTTTACCAGGACTCTCACACCAAATCCTAAGGAGAGCTCTGGGGCAAAATCATGCTGAAGAGGACCCAGGTCGCCTTTTCCAGACCATAGATTCCTGAAATAATTTGGAGCAGTCCCAGGCTGACCTCTGTTTATTTTTTTCCCTATAAAAATAACCCAAGGCATATTGTATATGAAAGCAAAGATGGGAGGAGGCTGCCATTTTATTGAGGACTATATGCTGAATCTGGGCAGAGACTTCACATACACTGTCCCATTTTATCTTTACAACAACTCTTAAATCATCTTTCAGTTAAGGAAACAGCCACTTAGAGGCTGAATGTCTTCCCCAAGGTTATATAGGAAGGGGGGAGGAATGAGATAAGCCCATACTGACGAATTCCAAGTAGCTGATCTTCTGTCATCCTGGTAGACTAAGTAAAAGACACTAATCCTAATCTTAGATGAAATAACAGGAGAAGGGGGAGGACAGAGAGAAGGGAGAAGGAAGAAGGGAGAGACCTGGGCTCTTGCAAGCTCGGAGGCAGTTACACTCCCATATTTCATGAACATCTTTGCTAAGGAAACAGACCCACAGTTTCTTCTGACTGTGACCTGGGGAAGAGAAAAGGTGTAAATGACAGAAGAGGTATGCAAGGCGATGGTCTGATTAGATAGGATAGGCAAATGTTGGAATGCTATGCATGTGCTTTCTGGTATCATTTTTTTTTAAATTCAGGCAAAGATAATAGAATTTGAAAACCATGGACATTTTCATAGCAAAGAGTGAGGAATGGCCGACAATGTGAGGATTCTAGATTGTATGCACATGTGTAAGAATCTCTGTCTAACAGACCTTCTGGGAGACTGGCAGAAGATGGCAGAAGATGTCAGAAATGCCCAGAAATACTTGGGCATTTCATACCTCCCACAGGCTTTGATACTCAGTCTCTGCTTAATACTAAATTATTTGGAAACTATTAGAGATATCAATAGGACCTCTCAGGAATTCTTTGAATTTCTGAAGCCTGACCAAACTTGTAGACTGATTGTAAATTATTGCAGATGTAAGATCCAGCATTTCTTGTCATACTTCGTATATGTGAACGCATTCCTTTGATTTGTAACTATAACAACAAGTTCTATAGTCCATGGTTTTGCACAGGTCAGTCTTACGGCCTTTTGGACTGATAATCACTGCTCTACAAGAATTAATTTGTTTCTAACTGATTTATACTCTGCTGGCCTGCTCTTTCCCAAAGGGGTCCTAGCCTTACATCTTTGTAGTGACAGAGGTTAAATTCCATCAGCCTGCCTGTGTTCTTGATCCTGCTTTCCACTGCTGGAGGCCTAGGGACAAGGGCTTTTCTAAGACCGTGGCAAGTGTCCCACAGAATAAAATGCAAAAGGTTAAGGGATTTAGGACAGGATGGTGAGTACCGCAGTTGCGACCACCGAGGCCTGCCTCTCGGCTGAGGTTCTGCGTCGTTGGGAGCCGCTGGGAGTCACTGGGCGAGGGCTTGGGTGATCCTGGAGGCCGTGACGGGCGCGCCCGCGGCCTGGGCTGGTGCCTGGGGAAACGCAAAGGAGGAAAGAGAGCGGCCACCTCTGGGTGCGGCCAGCCCGGGCCTTGCATCCCAGCCCCAGGGGCCAGAGGACGTCCGAAGGCGGAAAGGGCCACTCTCAGCTGCTTCTTGTGTCACGAGACCCGCACGCCCGAGCCGGGAAAGGCTTTGGGCCTGTGTCTTGGGAGTCCCCGAGAAAGGAGCCACGGGATCTCCTCCGTTTCCAGATGTTTCCTAGTTCCTTTCCCGCACCTCCCGCTGGTTGGTAACCCACTGGTTACCACCCCCATGTGGCGAAAACTGGCTTCTCGGATGCAAAACGGGAAGAAGCGAGTAGAATTCCCTACCCATTTTAATTTGCTATTTGGGGAAATGGGATAAGAAGTTTCCTTTCTTCCCTGAAATAACATGCAGATGCCATTGAAATGTGGCGGTGTACCCTCAAAGGACTGGATTTGGCTTTTTTTTGGTGGGGGGAGGGTTAGAATTGCTAGTACTACTTGCTTCTTCAGGATACTGCGACCCCTTACAGTAGAATTCCTTAATGGTTTTCGAGCTGATTTTGCTGGGCACAGATTGGTGTTGGTATTAGGAGACCTGCACATCCCACATCGGTGCAACAGTTTGCCAGCTAAGTTCAAAAAACTGCTGGTGCCAGGGAAGATTCAGCACATTCTCTGCACTGGAAACCTTTGCACCAAAGAGAGTTATGACTATCTCAAGACTCTGGCTGGCGATGTCCATATTGTGAGAGGAGACTTCGATGAGAATCTGAATTATCCAGAGCAGAAAGTTGTGACTGTTGGGCAGTTCAAAATTGGTCTGATCCATGGACATCAAGTTATCCCATGGGGAGATATGGCCAGCCTAGCCCTATTGCAAAGGCAGTTTGATGTGGACATTCTTATTTCAGGACATACACATAAATTTGAAGCATTTGAGCATGAGAATAAATTCTACATTAATCCAGGTTCTGCCACTGGAGCATATAATGCCTTGGAAACAAACATTATTCCTTCATTTGTGTTGATGGATATCCAGGCTTCTACAGTTGTCACTTACGTGTATCAGCTAATTGGAGATGATGTGAAAGTAGAACGAATCGAATACAAAAAATCTTAAAGCCAGGCCTGTCCTGTTGATTTTTCTGCTGGGCTTTTTTTTTTTTTCCATTCCCCTGTTCAACTCAAGTAATTAAACATTTAAGAGCCACAAAATTGTATCACTTTTATAATATTTTGCAGTAAAATATATTGTCTTCTGTTAATAGAATATTGGAGCTTCTTGTAAACTATAAGATTATATTTAGTTTAACTATATGATTTCTATGAAAAAATGTTCACCACACAGTAAATGGTCACACGTTAAGAAAAATTTATCCTTGTAAATATCTTCATAGTTGATATTTGGAACTTTATTACCAGTAGTGCATGAAGAGGAAGAATCTAGACTTTCTTGTATACATTTTTCTCTTCTCCAGTAATAAACAGTTACCTTTCATTTATTAAAAAAAAAAAAAAAAGGAATTTAGAGCAGTAAACATGGGTTTGAATAAACACTGTCATTTATTGCTGTCTGATCTTAGTCACATCGTTTATATTCTCTGACCTTCAATTCCCTCACCTATGAAATGGAGATAATTATTCTTATGGAACATGCTGTTGTAAGGATTAAGTAAAACAATATGAGGGAAAGTTTTGTTTAAATAGTAAGGGACCATATAAATGTTCTTATAATTAGGTGCACAGATAAGTGACCACTGGGCAAGAGTATCTGCACGCTGATGGGGGCAATCAGGAGGATATGTTAGAGACAAAAATCATGTCAGTTTCACATCTATGTAGAAGAACTGTTTCCATGACAGTTCTTCTACATAGATGGTACTCACCATCATGACCCAATATGTTATACCCACTCAGAAATGAGTAACATAGAGCTCCTTTTAGCAGTGCAGATTTCTAAGAAGAAAGCAGAAGTTTTAAAGAAAGGATAGCTTTTCTTATATCTGTGTTTGGGGTGGGAGTGTGCAGGAAGAGGTGATAGGACTGTGAAATGAGTTGGGAGTGGGGCTAGAGATCTCTCAGCATCTTTCCATCCCAGAGAAGGGAGCTCGTCCTGTAAGAATCCTGGGTTCTCTATGATCATGGGCAGTTAACAGGCTCCTCACTGGTCGTGGTGGTTGTTTAGTCACTGAATCATGTCCGACTTTTGCGACCCCATGGACTGTAGCTCACCAGGTTCCTCTGTCCATGGGATTTCCCAGGCAAGAATTCTGGAATGAGTTGCCATTTCCCTCTCCAGGGGATCTTCCAGACCCAGAGATCAAACCCATGTTTCCTGCATTGACCGGCAGATTCTTTACCCCTGAGCTATCTGGGAAGCCCTCTTCATTGATTACACATGCATACATTATCATTTAAGACTTAACTCTCTAATACTGTGAACATTTACTTTAAAGTTTAGCTATGCACTTGGAGCTTCCTCTCAAGAGTTTTGTTTTCTTTTAAGTGTATGAAATGTTTTTAATTAAAGGATGTCCAAGCCACATTATTAGTCTAACACTTTGACTATGAACCAGATTTATCTACTGACTGCTGCTGCTGCTAAGTCACTTCAGCCGTGTCTGACTTTTAGCAGCCTCATGGACTGCAGCCTACCAGGCTCCCCCGTCCATGGGATTTTCCAGGCTAGAGTACTGGAGTGGGTTGCCACTGCCGTCTCCGCTACTGACTGCAGTGGTTTTATTTATTTATTTTCTGTGCAAGAATGGTTTTTTGTGGGGTTTTTTCCAAGATTCTTTTTTGAGTGGCTCTTTTTCTTTCTCATTTTTTTAGGAACAGAAAGAAGCTGTGGTTTGATTTGCTGGGTCTTTGAATGACAAAGCTTTTCTATTCCCTCTTCTTAAAAACATTACCTGAAATCTGTATCTATATGTTATTAATTAAAAAAACTTTCAAGTCTAATCTTTTCTTTGCATGGTACTAATGGGTACTATATAATTGTACATAGAATAAAGTACCTAGACATGAATAAGTTCAATAATTGTATCTGTTGCATTTAAGACTGCCAATGTCTTAATAGCTGATAATGATCTTCTTGTTGTTATTGTTGAATTAATTGGATCCGAGGTGACCGCAGGCTGCGTGTTGGGTTGGCTGCCCAGTATTCTGAGCCTGTCACACTGTGGACCAGAGGCCTCTCAGAAAGAAAAGCCTTTAATGTAGACTTTAATGTTACCTTCAAAAGAGAATACATGTATAATCACAGAGATACACTGACAGGATTGAGAGGCACTTGCCCTACAACTTTAAATATACCACAGTTTTTTAACCCCATTTTGACATTTCTGTTTTTTAATAAATGTAGGAAACTGAAACAACAAAAAATTAGGTGTCCCAGACTTCTCCCGTCCTCCAAGAGGTCTAGCTCTGAATTATAGAATTAGCTCTGAATTATAGAAATGTTCATGTAACTAACCTTTTATAGCAGTGGGTGATGGGGAAAGGAGCATGTGATTATGTTTCCAGGGCAATTAAAGAATGCTAAATTATGAAAATTAATGCCCAGGTTCTGTGTGGGACAAAGAAATACTATGTTTGACTTTACATCACACCTCACTATTCTAAGATAAGCAAAATGTATGCCTGTTTAGTGACTAGTGATATCAAAAGGCAATATGGTGGTTTCCTGCTACATCTATTTTGAGGCAAGCATTGCCGTTTTACCTTCAAAGTCACATCATTCGTGTATCCTGCCCATTCTTTGGTGTGCGGGGTTTTCAGTTTATTGCATGTGTTTCTTGTAAACATCAAGACAAATTTCCTGAACAGTTCAAAATCAAGACAAAATGATCACCTCTTTAACTTTAGGGAAGAGGAAGTAGTGGTGTATCTTACAAAATAAGGCATGCCCTGCAATGTTTATTGCTTAATTATTCTTTGGGAAGCTTCCTATTTTGGCTCTGTCTTTTAGCCCCGAGGTGAAGTGTGAATAATAGAGGAGTTCAGTGTTCTTCTGCAATGGGACCAAAGCTTTTACTTTTCTTCTTTCCTCCTTCAGCAGCCTTTTGTTTCTCTGTGTCGAAGCTCAGCACGTGTCCTTTCCCTTCTAGAAAGCCTCATACAGCCACGGCCTCTCTCCTCTGCACCCCTATAGTATAGCATGGCACTGCCTTGGTACTGCTCTCAGTGCCCAACCTTCCAGTCAGGGTTTCTTCACTGCAGAATTTTCCCTGCGAATGGCAATCACTGGGAACATGTAGTTGCCCCATAACCCTGCTTCTGCATCCATGCTTTTCCAGCACCTCTTTCAGCTACTCATAATTTTTATATTTATCTCTGTGATTCTGTGGTTAATTGCCATCTTGCTTACCAGTCTGTGAACCTCCCTGAGGACAGGGACTTGTCTGGTTTTGCTCACTATGGCATCCATCGGCTACCCATAGCACAGGGACTGGCTCAAAGCCTCTAAGTTGTTTCCTTGCCTCCAAATTCACACCCTTTCCAGACCATTCTTCTCACTGCCAGCAACAATTTTACAAGTTCAGATAACTCCTCTCTGCAAAAAATGTAATGGTTCCCAATACATATAGATTAAAATCTAAATTATAGGATACAAGTTTCTTTTTAAACCTTACCTACATTTCTAAGAAAACTGCTTTTTATTTAGGTTTATTTTATCTTCATGGACTTAAAGTCTATGACTGTGTGGATCACCACAAACTGTGGAAAATTCTTAAACAGATGGGAATACTAGACCACCTTACCTGCCTCCTGAGAAATCTGTATGCAGATCAAGAAGAACAGTTAGAACAGGACATGGAAAATGGACTGGTTCAAAATTGAGAAAGGAGTATGTCAAGGCTATATATTGTCACCCTGCTTATTTAACTTATATGCAGAGTACATCATGTGAAATGCTGGACTGGATGAAGCACAAGCTAGAATCAAGATTGCTGGGAGAAATATCAATAACCTCAGATATGCAGCTGACACCACCCTTATGGCAGAAAGCAAAGAGGAACTAAAAAGACTCTTGATGAAAGTGAAAGAGGAGTGTGAAAAAGTTGGCTTAAAATTTAACATTCAAAAAAACAAAGATCATGGCATCTGGTCTCATCACTTCATGGCAAACAGATGGGGAAACAATGCAAACAGTGGCAGACTTTATTTTTTGGGCTCCAAAATCACTGCAGATGGTGATTGCAGCCATGAAATTAAAAGACGCTTGCTCCTTGAAAGAAAAGCTACGACAAACCTAGACAGCATATTAAAAAGCAGAGACATTACTTTACTGATAAAGGTCCATATAATCAAAGCTATGGTTTTTCCAATATTCATGTATGCATGTGAGAGCTGAACCATAAAGAAAGCTGAGTGCCAAAGAATTGATGCTTTCAAACTGTGGTGCTGGAGGAGACTCTTGAGAGTCCCTTGGACTGCAAGGAGATCAAGTCAGTCAATCCTAAAGGAAATCAGTCTTGAATACTCATTGGAAGGACTGATGTTGAAGCTGAAGTTCCAATACTTTGGCCACCTAATGCGAGGAACTGACTCACTGGAAAATACCCCGATGCTGGGCAAGATTGAAGGCGGGAGGAGAAGGAGACGACAGAGGCTGAGATGGTTGGATGGCATCACCGACTCAATGGACATGAGTCTAAGCAAGCTCTGGGAGTTGGTGATGGACAAGGAAGCCTGGCATGTTGTAGTCCATGGGGTCGCAGAGAATCAGACATGACTGAGCAATTGAAATGACTGATTGTACCTTATCTTGTATGACACAGAAATTATTTCCCTGCATTCATTCCTCTTTAGATTGTAAATTGCTTGCACCTTTGTAGACTCTTGATCTTCATAAAACGACTCAATAAATGTTTGCTTAATTGATTTAGGTATTATGGAGATATATGGCTCTAGAATCACTATACTTGATAGCTATGTAGTTCTTACACCAGGAGTTTAGAAGTTTTATAAATATTCTCTTGTTTATATCACTGTGGCCTATGAGTATATATTGTTGTTTTATTTATGGCTCTCAATTAATACTGACTGCAGCATGATAATATTAGTACAATGGGCTTTGCTATATTAACTAATCCTTGAATTTTTTTTGTCTGTTAA